GACATGCAGATCTGTCCTCGCAGAGGAGGCAGAGCTTGTACCTGAATAAAACTTGGTCTTAAAGGTGCCACTGGACTGTTTTGGATTGCTAGTGGGGAGGGGGCAGATCTGCCCTCACAGAGGAGGGAGAGCATGTACCTGAAGGTGGACGGGGGGTGGGGGCTCTACAACTTACCTGGCTGCTTCTTGCTCCTCGTGGCCCAACTGAGGGCTGCTTGAATCAGGGGGAGGGGCTTATTGCATGTGCCCGCCCCCTGGGCTCCTTACTGCCGGAGCTCCGCTCCTGTGGCTCCCACAGGAAATGACTCCTGATCCTGAGTATAAGATCCTATGTCACCCTCTGTAATACTGGAAGAGTCTGTTGGGTATTCAGGGTTCCAAAGCCTTGAGATCTGTACTCTTCCTTTATTAATTAATAAATTATTTTTTGGTCTCCTACTCTACAGGACTGCTTTGTATGTTTTCTCAAATTGGCCTGGGCGGCAAACACAACCAGGACAGAGGTTCTGTCTATCACTGTCCATCCCCCAATCTCCAGGAGTTTCCCAACCTGGATCTGGCAACCCTACCCCCCATCCCCCGCCGGTGGCCAAGGGGGGACCTGGCATCTAGAGTGAGGAAATACCTGGAGATTTGGGGGTCGAAGCCTGGGGAGAGCAGGGTTTGGGGAAGGGAGGGACCTCACCAGGGTACATCGCCATAGACTCCGCCCTCCAAATCAGGCATTTGCTCCGGGGAACTGAACTCTGCCAGCTGGAGATAAGTTGCAATAGCAGATCTCCAGGCCCCACCTGGAGGTTGGCAACCCTTCCGGCAACCCTAATCCCTTACCTGCATTTATCTTGATAAGTTAAAGCGCTCTTGAAAATATACCCTGAGCCAGGGGGAAGTCTTAGGTGAGCAGGACGCTGCACCCTAAATGGAACCTCCAGGGTCGCTAATTTTGAACACTGTTTTCCAAAAAAAACCACCCCAAGACCACGCAGGTCGCCGGCGTTGACTACAGGGGCCCGCAAGGCCCGGGTAGGCCGCAAGGTTGCCATGGAGACGCAGAACACCGAGCCGGCTCCGGGAGCCGCGCACGCGCGCAGAGGCGGCCCGGCAGCGGTTGTCACGGCGACCGTTCGGCTTCCCGGTCCCGGCGAAGGGAGCAGCAGCTGAGAAGTCGCGGGCTTCGACGGCCCCGCTTGCCTGATGGCTCCGAAGCGGCCCAAGAGCGGGGCTGGCGGCGGGCCCCCCGCGCCGCCAGGGGCTGGCTCCAAAAACTGGGAATCCGGGCTGGTGACGGCGCGCCTGGAGGAGGTGCGTTGGCGGCGCTGAGGACGGCCGGGCCGGGCTGGATGGACTCGAGGGGCCCCTCGAGTTTGGGCGCCTCTTTGCAAAGCCGAAGGGCAGTCGGCGCTCTGCTCTCAGGCGCCACGAACGTCCCAGGGCTTCCTAGCGTTGCCGACCTCCAGTGGCGCCTGGAGATCTCCCGCTGTTAATTAACATTTGGTCTCCAGCAGGGACAGAGATCAGCTGAGCTGGAGAAAAGGGCCACTCTGGAAGGGGGACTCTATGGCATTAGACCCCAACCAGTCCCACCCTTCCCCAAACCCCACCCTCTTCAAGCTGCACCCCCAAAATCTCCCAGCCTGGAGCTGGCAAACCTGCCCTGGGGCTTCCTTCCAGCCCTAATCAGGGCTTTTTTTGTAGAAAAAGCCCAGCAGGAACTCATTAGCATAATAGGCCACACCCAACAGCAGAACACATTAGCATATTAGGCCACACCCCAACAGGACATCTCATTAGCCTATTAGGCCACACCCCACACCTTCCCTTGGCTTGCCCTGGCTCCCTGCAGCTGAGGGGCAAGTCGGTCCTTGGACAGGCCTTGGAAGGCACGGGAGGCATTTAAATGCCTCCCTGATCCTTCCAGAGCCCCCCCTGGCCCACCTGCCTCAGAGTGGGGGGGGGGGTTCTTGCTCAGCCTGTAGCCAGCACGCAGAGGTTTTCGCTGTAGTGGGTGTGGCCAACTCTGAAGCCAGCCTGAACTCTGTTCCTGTGCGTTCCTGCCCAAAAATAGCCCTGCCTAACCTGATGCAGGCTGCTTACTCGAGAGCAAGTCCCATTCCTGCAGGTGGGTTTATTAACACCGAACAGGGTAGCAGCCTTACAGCCTGATCCAAAACATGGAAGTTTCTGCCATCGGCTTTATTTCCAGGTTGTGCTGCATAGAATTTCTCCCCTTGCAACCCATTCTTAAGTGTGTTGACTCAGACGTAAGATCCCATGTTCAGAAGTCAAGTAAAGGTGCATGAGATTGCTGTCATTTTCAGTGCCAAAATTCAGAAACAACCATCAAAGCTCTGCGCGTGCACAAACCGGGTCTACAAGCTACAGTGAATGTGTGTACAATCTGTATACAATGTACACTTGATTTTTCTTTATAAATGCATTGAGTAAGTCTCGTGTTGCATTCAATGCATGTAGAGCCAAATGTGTGGTTAAGCCCGAAATTTATCAAGGGCCTGGTCCCTGGTTTCATTTATAACTTGAACTCACATTGGCTCTTTCTTACAAGCATATGTAGGGTATGTGTGCGTTCACCAATGCTCCCTTCTAAGCTATGGAGTCCTGTGAGCAAAAATTCTACTTTGTGAGCTACTGGTATTAATGTTGTGAGCAGGTGATTTGGCTACTGCATTAATTAGTTTGTTCTGGAACCATCCTTCCTGAGCTGAGACAAAAATGTGTGAGCCTGAGACTAAAAAACTGTGAGCTAGCTTGCACTAACACAGCTTAGAGGGAACATTGGCATTCACTGTAACACGTCAATGGGGCTGCACACACATTCTTCTTCACATAGTGACTGCCACATCAGGGTTGATATGTGTGTATGGGCGGATAATCTTAAACACTGCAGCTGCATCTTTAACATCACCTTTTTGCCCTATCGAGATAAGAGAGAACAATGTTTGCGTCCAATAGGCACCTTTAAGACCCACAAAGTTTAATTCTGGGTATAAGCTTTTGTGCATGCAGGGAAAAGCTTATACCCAGCATTAAACTTTGTTGCTCTCCCTGAGAAGACATGGGGCTTTAGATGGTGGGGGCTTTGATGCCTGCTTTTCAGAAATTTACACTAACTATTGATATAGATAGAGAAAAACAGGCACTGCCTGCTAAATGGGAATAGATGGAGGGAGGGTGTGAATGTCAGTGGGCTGGAAGCGAAGAATAAACATTAAAAGAATAGGATGAAGACAGTGCTGTAAAGATTGCAGATGGGGCACAGGTGATGGACTTGTCCAACTAGGTTTTGTTAGACTCAGGTTCAAACATGCGGCCTTTACCACAGAGGCTTACTGAGAGACAGAGCCAAGTCTTCCCCCCTTTTACATCTGGCAGCCCTTTTACCCTACTGGTATGGAAGAAAGAAAGAAACAGACAGTCGGGGGCCCTTGGAAATCTTGAACGGAGAGGGGAAGGGGGAAGGGGGTGGAAAGAAAAGGGGAATTTCACTATCACTTGGGCAAATAGGGTTGAGATGACCTTTAGGCAGGTTAGAGGTTTGGCTCTCTTTTGCGTTCTCTTCACGCAGAGGTGGACTGGGTTAGTGTGGGGACCGGGAGTGGCACTTACTGGTTTCAAGCTCACAGACATAGTCTTTCCAATTTCGGGGGACAGTTATGGGGTAGGCTGAGGTCTGAGGTTTGAAAAGCTGGAGTGTAGGTTTAAATATGTTAGGGCCCCTGGCAAAATTTGTCATTCAGAAAGCATGCTGGCAGTTTCTGGCTAACTCTTTTATTTACTTACTTTACTTATAATCTGCGTTTCTCACTGAGAGTCATGCATAGCAATGCAGCACTCAGGCCTTCTGCTTGGCAAGCGAGACATGTAGGAAGGATAGAATGCATAAAGTTCAAGTATTAACATGAAAAATTGAAACCTCAAAGTACTAAAAATGCTTGTTACTCTTCAAGTTTATCAACTCAGTAAAGGTATAAGTTGCCTCATACCCTCCAGGATCTGATTTCAGCAAATAGGGTTGCCCCCTAGGCCAGAAATGAAATAGCCGGGATTGCTTGGGTGCCTTTAGTTGTTGTTCAGTCGCACGGTCGAGTCTGACTCTTTGCGACCCCATGGACCAGATCACGCCAGGCCTTCCTGTCTTCCGCTGTCCTCTGAAGTTGGCTCAATTTCATGTTCGTTGCTTCTATGACACTGTCTAACCCTCTCATCCTTTGCCGTCCCCGTCTTCTTTGAACTTCAATCTTTCCCAGCATCAGGGTCTTCTACAGTGAGTGCTCCCTTCTCATTGGGTGGCCAAAGTATTTGAGCTTCAGTTTCATTATCTGGCCTTCCAGGGAACAGTCAGGGTGCCTTTAGTAGGGCTTTATTATGCAGCAGGTAAAACTTTTCATGGCTAAGACCTAAACAGTGACACCTGCTAGTTGTTGTTTTAACTGTTGTTATAAGGACAGTTACTGATGTGTAGCAGCAGGTCAAGGCTTAGGAGCCTCATCAGGAATGAGCTGGCTCTGGCTTTCCTCTTACTATCCTCAGCTCCTTAGACGCTAGCCTCCATTTCAGAACTGAGGGGTAAACAACCGCAAAGCAGTTTGATCCCAAACCAGATGTTGCTCGAAGGGAGAGGAGTGCTTTTTTGCCTTCAAGCTTGCCCTGCGGCATTCACTTCTGAAAAGCCCGTTTGAGCTAAATTGACTTTCGTACCGAATGGGGTGCTAAGATCAGTCTTCCGGGTGAAGCGGAGGAGAACGTGTTGTTTCAAAATATTTTTTGGTATACATGCACAGTCCCACAGCAAAGATCTTGGTACTGCGGTAGCAGCTGTGGCCAAAGCAACTTTAAAATAAATAAATCTGTGCAGCCAATCAGATCTCCAGTGGCCAGTCGGAAGCCCCGGTGGGCAAAAGCTCCTCCTGGTCCTGCCCGCATTCTAAAACCCATTGGCCAGGTACCAGGAAAGGTGTTGGTTGGCCCCGTGTTGGGGATCCCCATGTGATTTACAAGCATAGTCTTAAAACCTACTTGGAAATCGGATTATAACGGGATTTACTCCTGAGTTGCAAAAAAATTGCACTTCAGAGGCACAGGCCAGATATCGCGTGGCTAAATCAGTTTGATCCGCGATTATGCGATCAGACGCGCCGGTGGCACACCACAGGTCCTTCCCTCGGTGCTGGCAGGTAAACAAGACTGGAGGGGAATGCTGGGCACCGGCACGATCACACCACGGGCGTCTGGAGGCAGCCCGTGGCAAACGTTTGCTAGTACCTTGGAGGTACTAGTTTTTTAAGGTGCATTGTTGGCGGTAAACCACGGGTGCGCTCCACTTCCCAGATGTTGGGGTGTGATCGCGCCTGGATAATCCGCCAACCATCCGTGCCTCTCCCGCGGCAACTTTGTCGTGTGACCGGGGCCAGAGAATCACATTTATTCCAGCAGGCACTTTCACTATGAAAATAATGGCTAGTCTCCAAAGTGGCAACAGACTTGCGTTCCATTTTGCTGCTGCAGTCTAACACCAGCTACCCATGTGGAATTATTTCTCAGCGGCCACACCCTGTTGTTTACTCTGTGTGAAAATAGGAAACAACCCAAATAATCCCAGTAAAGCAATGTGTATTCATTAGGTAACATGTATTAATTTAATTCATACATGTATGAATTAAAACAAGGGCCGTTACTAGAGAGCAACGCAAGCCTTTGCACGGCTCGGATCCCGCACAGTTCTGGCCCTGGCAAGCATTTCACTGGGCTCTTCACCTCTTTTGGCCTCGAGTTCCATACTTCTGGCATGGTGGCTTCTGAGCTGGCTGCTGGCTGGAGGAGAGGCCAGCTTTTGGGGTGTGCTGGTATACGGAGTCAGCAAGCTCAGTTTAGGAGCTGCGGTGGCTCAAGAGGTTAAGACGCTGAACTGCAGGCTATGGAAGGTCGGTAGTTCAGCAGTTTGAGACCCGGGTGCCGCATGATGGAGTGAGCTCCCGTCTCTAGTTCCAGCTCCTGCCAACCTAGCAGTCTGAAAGCAAGAAATTGCAAGTAGATAAATAGGTACCACTTCGGTGGGAAGGTAACAGCATTCCATGCGCCTTGGTGTTTAGTCATGCCGGCCACATGACCACGGAAACGTCTTCAGACAGCGCTGGCTCTTCAGCTTTGAAATGGAGATGAGCACCACAACCTAGAGTCGGATTTGACTGGCTTTCGAGCAAGGGAACCTTTACCTTTACCTAAGCTCAGTTTATAGATCCAGGTGGGCAGCCGTGTTGGTCTGAAGCAGTAGACCAAAGTCTGAGTTTCATTCAAGGTATGAGCTTTTGCATGAGCCTTTGGTATGCCGTTGGTATCTGCGGAAGTGTGCATGCACAGAAAGCTAATACCTTGAATGAAAACTTTGTTGGTCTTAAAGGTGCCACTGGATTCAAGCTCAGTTTATATTATGGTCCTGACAAAGGATAATAGCCTCTTGAACTCAAGAATTTAAGAGCAGACATGAAAAGGAGAAAGACAATGAGCTGTAGTCTCTTTGTATCTGACATCTTAACACTGATTGGAAATACACATGCGTGCTTGGTAAGGCAGATAGTTATATTAAAAGCAGAGCTTGCCAGTGCCTGGCAGACATTAATACTGAAGTCCGTTTGTTCTCGAGTGTCTTGTGACATTTTTAATATTTCTTAATCTTGCAGACCCATGAATTTTACTGATTGCCTTGCTTTATTGTTTTCTTCCAAACGCGAGTGGCTCTTTGCCTTCTCCAAGTTACAAAGTCGTTGAACTTTTTTTTAGCATCAGATATCGTCTTAGAGAAAAGGATGTGCTCTGTGGTGTCACATTGCCACCTGGTGGTAGCGAGCCCCTGCCTATTCATAAACCTGCGTCCTAAGCGTGGCAAACGTTAATGAAAACAGTACAACAAGGTTAACAACCTCGAATATAAAAAATAATAATAATGTATCATATCTGTGGTTTGTTTTGAATCTCAAACAGGAGAATTGGACTCCGAGCATCGCCTTTGTCGTCGGGAACCAAGTCGAAGACGCGCTGCACATGAAGGCTCTGTCTCTTGCTGTGCAGCTGCCACTGCGGAGGCTCTTCAGCGTGGTATCTTGGGAACAGATATTAGAAGAGGTATGTAGCGCTGATCCCCTGACCTGGATGGCTCAGGCTAGTTTGATCTTGTTAGATCCTGGAAGCTAAGCAGGGTCGGCCCTGGTGAGTACTTGGATGGGAGACCACTAAGGAAGTCCAGGGTTGCCACGCAGAGGCAGGCAGTGGCAAGCTACCTCTGTTCGTGTCTTGCCCAGGGGTCATTTCGTAGAAAAAGAGCTAGGGGAACTCATTAGCATATGCCACACCCCCTGACATCAGGGGCCTGCGGGGCCGGAAGCAGGGGCGGGGCTTCGTCATGTGCCCCGCCCTCCTGCACCTCACCCGGGGGAACTGACCCAAAATGACCTCTGGTCTTGCCTCAAAAAGACCATGAGAGGTCACCATCAGTCGGCTGCAGTCTGGCAGGACGTTCCACGGGTAATGGTGTGGGGTGACGTCAGAACCAAGGCTAGGGAATCCACCAACAAATGGCTGTCCAGTGTCTGCACGAACAGCTCCACCAATAGAAAGCCCATCCACCCCCTCTAGGTCATTGGTCCCATCGCCGTACTGCTCTTACTGTCTGGAAGTTCAGCTGCTAGACCAAGATGGGTAGCCGTGTTTGTCTGTAGCAGTAGAAAAGAGCAAGAGTCCAGTAGCACCTGAAAGACTGACGAAATATGTGGCAGGGTAGGAGCTTTCGTGAGTCGCCGCTCCCTTCTTCAGAAGTTCTGCCGTAATCTGTAAGTTATAGTGCGGTCCTAGGCAGGGTTACCCCTTTCTAAGCTTGTTGACTTTGATGGGCTTAGAAGGCTGACACTATTTCAGACTGCACAGGTAGTCCCTCCCGTGACTCAGTCTGCCCCGCCAAAGAAGTGATGACTTCCTGTTTTGAAAAACTGATACATGAGCACGCATGTATGGAAAAGTGTGGTCAAGTCACAGCTGACTTATGATGACCCCAGGGAGGGGCTCTCGAGGCAAGTGAGGAGCAGAGGTGGTCTGCCATTGCCTTCCTCTGCAGAGTCTGCCTTGGAGGTCTCCCACCCAAGACTTATGAGGACCCCAATGAGGGGCTTTCAAGGCAAGTGAGAAGCAGAGGTAGTTTGCTATTGCCTTCCCCTGCAGAGTCTTCCTTGGAGGTCGCCCACCCAAGACTTCTGGTGACCCCAGCGAGGGGCTTTCAAGGCAAGTGAGGAGCAGAGGTGGTTTGCCATTGCTTAACTGCAGAGTCTTCCTTGGTGGTCTCCCACCCAAGTATCGACCCTGCTTAGCTTCTGAGATCTGACGAGATCAGGCTAGACAATGCCCGGCTTTCCCTTCCATAAAGGAACATAGGTGAGCTTTACTTGCAGCTTCCACCTGATGTTTCTCAAGTACTGTGCTTTCACTAGCAGTTTCTTCTTCCAGTGGCAGACATTAAAATCTCCAACTGAAAAACTCTGGTTTATGTAGCAGAGGCTGAGTTCAGACTGGCAGTTTGGCCCGATATAGGCACGTTTCACAAACGGATTCAAGGGGCCGGTTCACACAGCCACAGCTGCCAGGTGTTCCCCAGCCGTACTCAACCCATCCTATGACGATTCCCTACCGCATTTAAAAAGTACCACGTGAAAGCGGTAGCAAAAGTTGATTCCGCTTCCTGGAAGTGTGCATGCTAAAAGCCGCAAGCAAGCCGCATTGCTGCACCTATGCGCCTAGGCGCGTGTCGTCAGAGTGAAAAGCAGTCGCTTACGGCCGCGCCTCCGCAGGGGACGGGCCAGCAGTGCGAACGCTCCCTTGCGCCTCCTCCCCGGTACGCTCCCGTATCGTTTGGTGCAGTGCGACCGGGAATCCCCGGCACAACTTGGTCCGGGTCTTGTTGCCCCGCCTCCCTTGCGCTTCATACTGCCAGTCTGTCCTCAGCCAGACTCTGTCATTACTTGGTCGTTGGCTTAGGCTGCTATTCAGCCTGATTGTAAGCTTCTAACCTGGAGGGTCAGTTTGTGAAACAGCACTGCTGTTCAAAGGGAGAAAAATAAGCAATTCCACGAGATGGATCCAAGCCCTTCGTTACAACTAAAGTGGCCCTCTGGGTTATTTATTTATTGGATTTAATTCCTGACCTCCCTGCTGGAGAAAAATAAGCAATTCCACGAGATGGACCCAAGCCTTTCGTTACAACTAAAGTGGCCCCTGGGTTGGTTATTTATTTATTTATTTATTGGATTTAATTCCCGACCTCCCTGCCGAAGCAGGCTCAGGGCGACTTACATAAAAATGTTAAAACATTTTAGAACAATTTAAAACCAATGTAAAAGCTAGAGTGCTATACATTCAAGTTTTCCTATCCCACGGTGAACATATTCCTATATTGTCATATCCAGTATTCTGCAACAGGAGTCAGTCAGTGCAGCAGTGGCGATGGCAAGGTCCCAGGGAAGGCTTGGATGTTATACCCAGATACACCCGTTGTGCCATGTGAACCAGTTGTTAGATGTGGTTGGTGTGGTCAAATGCCTGGTGGAAGAGCTCCGTCTTGCAGGCCCCGTGGAACTGTAGCAAGCTCCGCAGTACCCTGATGTCCTCCGGGAGCTTGTTCCACCAGCGCGGCACTGCCACAGAGAAGGCTCTAGCCCTGGTAATGGCCAGTCTGGCCTCTTTAGGGCCAGGGAAAACCAGAAGGTTTTGTGTCCCAGAACGCAGTGCTCTCTGGGGAACATATGGGGAAAGGTGGTCCCTCAGGTATGCTGGACTCTGACCGTAAAGGGCTTTATAGGTAAGAACCAGCCCCTTGAAGTGAATTCGGCATGTTATAGGCAGCAAGTGCAATGCTTTCAGTGCAGGCTGGATGTGTTCTTTCAGAGAGAGACCCGACAACAGCCTGGCTGCTGCATTTTGCACCAGCTGCAGCTTCCGAATTTGTAACAAGGGCAGCCCCATGTAGAGAGCGTTACAGTAGTCCAGTCTCGAGGTGACCATTGCACGGATTACCATTGCCAAGTCGCTACGTTCGAGAAAGGGAACCAACTGCCTGATCAGTCGCAGGTGGTAGAAGGCTGACTTGGCAGTGGCTGCTACCTGGGCCTCCATCGTTAGGGAGGTGTCCAAGCGCACTCCCAAGCTCCTAACCTCCAGCGCTGACACCAGTAGCGCCCCGTCGAAGGTGGGGAGTGGGATCCCTGCCCCTGGACCGCCGCGACTCAGGCACAGAACCTCCGTCTTCGTCGGATTCAGCTTCAGCCGGCTCAGCCTATGTCATCCAGCCACAACTTTTAACGCCAGGTCCAGATACCCAGGTCCATCTGCATCTTAAACCAACATATCCTCCTTTCAGGATATTTTGTAGAAACAGAGATGAACATAAGCAGTTCCCATATGAACATAAGAGAAGCCGATGTTGGATCAGGCCAATGGCCCATCCAGTCCAACACTCTTGGCCAAATATACCAGGTGCCATCAGGAGGTCCACCAGTGGGGCCAGGACACTAGAAGCCCTCCCACTGTCACCCCCTCCCCAAGCACTAAGAATACAGTGCCCCAGACTGAGAGTCCCTATCTATACCTTGTGGCTAATAGCCACTGATGGACCTCTGCTCCATATGCTTATCTAATTCCCTCTTGAAGCTGCCCATGCTTGTAGCCGCCACCACCTCCTGTGGCAGTGAATTCCGTGTGTTAATCACTCTTTGGGTGAAGAAGGACTTCCTTTTAACTGTTCTGACCCGACTGCTCAGCAATTTCATGGCTTACCCATGAGTTCTTGTATTGTGAGAAAGGGAGAAAAGTACTTCTTTCTCGACCTGCTTTATCCCACTCATAATCTTGTATAAAGAATTCATTCACTGTGTTTGTTCATGGCACTGTGTTTCTTACAGATTACAGATTCTGGAAATGCAAAAGTCAAGAAAGTCAAAGAAGGTCAGACTCCAACACCCTTGTATTATGAGGCAAGTGGACCCTTTTACTACTGCTACCGTTCCTCAGGTCCATTTTCACTCCGTCTTCCCCAATTCTCCCCCTTACTACAGCCCGCACCCCACAGGGCTTTTGTCCATGCAGTTCCCCTGGTTCCCATCATCATAGCCATTCCGGGCGATCAATGGGGTCCTTGTCCACCTTTCTTCACTGGCCGGACGCTGGTTCCCACCCACGGTTCTAGCTCTCTCCTGAATGGGGATGATCAAAAGTTAATTCCTCGAAGGACAATGGGCAGGCAGATGCAGAACTCTACAATTTCTGTCTGTATTGCCTCAACCAGTAACTTTAACCTCCCTGATTGTAATTTAAACATCTAGCTTGTGAAATAGCAGAGCTAAATGTTTAGAGCAGGGGTGTCAAACATGCGGCCCAGGGGCTGGATCAGGCTTCTGTCAGGCCCGCAGTGGAACTGGCTGTCTTCTGCTTCTTCTCCCAGTTCTGCTGCTGCTGCGTCATCTTAGGTTTGCAGCTTACAGAGACACACCTGAACAGCATACTCAAGATTGCAACAGCACAGACATTTTGATGCAATAATTCAGAGCAAGAGGTGTCAGTTATCAGAAGCCGTTAAATAAACAAAATATTGCAAGAGTGCTAATGTTTTAAGCATGATTTTATTTTAAGTAAAAAGAAACCCTTTGTGTCTGTGTCCTTTATAAGGTTTATATCTCTGCTACCTGGCATTACATTTGATGACACACATGGCCCAGCCCAACAAGATCTCCTTTATGTCAGATCCGGCCTTCATAACAAATGTGTTTGACACCCCTGTCTTAGAGCCTTTGTATATTAGAATCTTTCAGCACCACTGTCACCCCAAACTAGGGTAGATGGTTCTGCAAATCCAGAGAACCAGCCAGTTTGCAGAAAAAGCTTAACTGTTTTAAGGCAGGAGGGTTTGAATAAACATAAAATTATTTAAAAGTGTCAATGACGTCACAAAATATGAGCAATAATGTCTTTTTTTTCTGGAAATGGTTGAATCGGAAAATTCTCCAGATAATTTCCTGGAAAATTATCCAACGGTAAATGCAACGTGATCCAATTTGTTTGACATGTTCAAAAAAAGAAAAAAGCAAGAAATGTGTGAACTGAAATATTAGATTAGGAAGAAGATATATCAGGTATGATTCAAAAGTTATAAACAAATTCAAAGCTCATTTTTATTGGAATACTACTTCTAAAAATTACAGTATCATGTAGTTTGTACTTCCTTTACATGGCTTAAGTTTAAGGGAAAAATCAGAAGCGTTGGTAACTGTTGACTAACTAGTTTTAGCATCGAAGCACTGTGCACGAAATACTGTGGATATCGTTGTCCGCTTATCTCTGGCAGCAGAATTAGCTCCCTTCCATTTAACTTGCAATTTAACTGTCACTCTGTAGCATCATTTGCATTACTTGTTGGTTCTACATCATAGTACTAGTAATAGAAAAAATAAATTATTTATTTTTATTTACTTCGTATATACCCTGCCTTCCTCCCCGATGGGGACCCAAAGCAGCCAGTTTGGTGCAGTGGTTAAGTGCGCAGACTCTAATCTGGGAGAACCGGGCTTGATTCCCCACTCCTCCACTCGCAGCTGCTGACTGACCTTGGGCAAGCCATAGTTCTCTCAGAGCTGTTCTCTCAAGGACAGTTCCCTCAGAGCTCTCTCAGCCCTCTCTACCTCACAGGGTGTCTGTTGTGGGGAGGGGAAGGGGAAGGAGATTGTAAGCCACCCTGAGACTCCGAATGAAGGGCGGGGTATAAATCCAATCTCTTCTTCTCTATCATTCTCCTTTCCTCCTGACAACAACCCTGCAGAGTAGGTTAGACTGAGTGATTGGCCCACAGTCACCCAGTGAGCTTCCATGGCAGAGTGGAGATTCGAACCTGGGTCTCCAGATCCTAACCCAGCACTCTCACCACTACACCACACTGGCTTTCATCCCTTCCACCATGTAAGAGGAGGGCACAGACATAAAAATTTCTGTGTTGGTTTTGATTCAACTTGCCCAGCCAATCTGGTGAATGTATAACTTAATTTTTATTGACATTCCAATATGCATTTGTGGCTTTATCCCCACCCTGGTTTACAAATCAATTAGAAGAAAATAAAGAGCCGCATCAGTCACAGGCAGTGTTCCCTCTAAGCTGAGTCAGTGTGAGCTAGCTCACAATTTTTTAGCCTCCAGCTCACACATTTCTGCCTTAGCTCAGGAAGGATGGCTCCAGAGCGAACTAATCTATGCGGTAGCCAAATGACTCACTCACTACTTTCATGCCAGTTGCTCACAAAGCATACGTTTTGCTTCCAAGACTCCACAGCTTAGAGGGAACATTGGCACAGGAGATTAAAAACAGGGCCAAAGCGATGGCCTTCTCAGAAAGAGTAAAAGATTAGTTTTGAAGAACTACTGCAAGACGAACAGATTCCCCTGACGAAGCCTGTTAGCGAAACGCATTGGGAATTTTTGGAAATTCAACTGATTAATAAAATATACTTTCGCCTGATTTTGCACCATCGGCCTCAACCCTAATTTCTGACTTCCTGTTACAAATCAATAAAACATACATGTACTCTCTTACTCAGTTTCTAGGATAATCACTTGAAATACCGAACTGGCAGTAGCATCCGTTCATTGTTCTTCGTTTTATGAAACGATCTTTAGAAATGGGAAATTTTCTGTGGCGATCGAAAGCACTGGAAAATTTCCCCTCCACATCTATTCTTGCATGACCTCAGCTGTCATTTTGGATTGCCTAGGCAACCCCAGACAACGTCACCTGGTTGACCCAGCTTTTCCCTGGGCTAGTTGAGCTCAAGTAGGATGGTGGGAGCTACCAAAAGAGAATCCCCAGTTCATTTGGAGATTTCATGCCATGGTAACTTTTTTTGAACTGTACCAGTCATGTTCCTATGAATACCTGGTATGACCTCTGGACAAGAATATATTGGCAATGGGGACTGCCACGGCTCTTTGGTTTGTGGGTGTCCGGCATGCTGAATCAATTGGGACGACGATGAGCATACTCCCTTCCCCTAGGTATTGATCTGGAACCCCTCTATAACTGTGGCGAGGTAGCAATCTTGCAGGTGGTAAGGAGGAGAATTTGGGATATAGAGGCGCAGATCATTAATGCCGGTAGTCTTGGAGTTTGTTCTCCCTATTTATTACCCCTCCTCCCCTTGCATACCTCCATGGTACCATATATTGCTAATTTGACAATCCCAGTTTTTAGGAGGGTTTTTATGCTTGCAAGGTTCAACCTTTTCCCCTCAGTAGTGGTCTCCGGTAGATACAGGGGTGTTCCGTACAAGGATAGACTTTGTAACTGTAATCTTGGGGAACCTGATTCTATCACCCATATTCTTTTTCTTTTCTTTTTCTTTTAATCCCCTGAAGACAGGGTAGCTTTATTACTTTTTTGTTACACCTACAGACTAACAGAAAAGAAAAAGGGGAAGGGAATAGTTACCCCAGGATAAAAGGACAGCAAATTAAACCCAGCTGTGGTGGCTCAAGTGGTTAAGACGCTGAACTGCAGGCTGTGGAAGGTCAGTAGTTTAGCAGTTCGAGACCCGGGTGCCGCATCATGGAGTGAGCTCCCATCTCTAGTTCCAGCTCCTGCCAACCTAGCAGTTCGAAAGCAAGAAATTGCAAGTAGATAAATAGGTACCACTTCGGAGGGAAGGGAACAGCGTTCCGTGCGCCTTGGTGTTTTGTCATTCCGGCCACATGACCACGGAAACGTCTTCGGACAGCGCTGGCTCTTCGGCTTTGAAACGGAGATGAGCACCGCAACCCTAGAGTCGGATTCGACTGGCTTTCGAGCAAGGGAACCTTTACCTTTATGACTAAAAACCCAAGAGGGAAGGTCCTTAACAGTTAGTATTCAGTTAGTATTAATTCTTATAACTTTTCATTTAAGTCAGTGAATTCAAGAATTAGTCAGTCCGTGTTAGTATTCCATCCATCTTCTCTTGTGTGCACCGAGTCTCTTTCATCATCTTCCTCATTTGCGAATCTTTAGTTTATAAAGAGTTACTTTGGTCCTCTATGCCGCAAGTCATATGTCTCTCTGGCTGCACCGCCTCCCGCTGCACCTTGGTCTTCGTCTGTGTCTTCTGCAATGCCTGCTCTGCCGTCTCCTTCCTGCTGTTCCTCTTCCTTCGATCCAAAGTGCCGCTTCAACCATTCTTCCACTTTAAAAACCGAGTCGATTTTCTCCCTTTTATCTCTGTATTTGAACACGACACCTACCCATATTCTTTTTCGTTGTCCTAAATATTTCGCTATGCGCAATGCTTTGATTTGCCCGCTTCTCCCTGTGCAGAGAGATTTTCTGGATAGGGATTTAAATTTCTTTCTAGCAGACAAGAGTCCAGCAATAACACTATCTGTCGCTGAATTTTTGACTTATGTATGGAAGTCAAGAGTAGTACTTTGTAAATCTCGTAAACCATGTTAGGATTGCTTTGTATTTTGAGATATTGGGAATATTGGTTGATGTTGTTTTAGTACTACCCCTTAAATTTTGCCTTTGTTCTGGTTTATCTGTGTTATGCCAATAAAAGTTTTCTGGTTCTGGTTCAATTGCTAACCAGAACTAGGGACGGGGCTTGCTTGGAAATCAGTCTTGGCCACTGTTTAATGTTTGCTAGTGAGGAAGGAAGCAGGAGCGCTCTGAGGAGGTTTTCAGGTGGTTTGACCCATGGAGGAATTACACGTGAGGACAGAGTGATTGTGCAGGATGAACGAGACGGCTGCAAGATCTGGAGAAACAAAACAGAGCACGCTTGAGTCACAGGGTCGTCTTGCATCTGATGTATTGTCCGATTGTCACAAAGGAGAGAGTGACAGCATAGGGCGGTGGGAAGATCCTAGTCACAAGAACTAGCCGTTGTAAGTTGGCTCCTACCTGTTTGGGATGGCAGTCGGAACGTTTCTAAGTGTTTGTTATACGTGTGGATCGTTTGGTGCT